AACCTTCAACGGCTTTAAGCATCCAGTTCCCGGCCCCAACTCCAATCCGAAGGCGGGCGAAATCCATGTAATAATCGGCCCCATGTTCGCCGGCAAGACCACCGCTCTCCTCCGCCGTATCAAATCCGATTCCAACAATGGCAGGTACGTTGTTATTCGATTCTATCATTACTGTTATCACCTTCAATCTATTCCATATCTGTAATTTTTAACTTTTAAGGCGTTTTTGTCTTGAAATGTGAAACAGTAACGTTGTGATGATAAAGTCGAGCAAGGACACCAGATACGCGGTGGATGAGGTGGTAACCCACGACGGCACTAAATTCCCCTGTTGGGCGTTGCCAGATCTCTCTTCGTTCAAGATCAGATTCGGATCCGAGGCCTATAAAAAGGTTCGTTTATGAGTTTATTGTTCATTTTCTTGTCTTCCGGACAGCTAATTGCAAGTCTGTACCAGATTGGGGTAATTTGTAGCAATTTTTTTACCAGTCCATGATTGGGTTCCTTTTCACTTAGGTCGACGTGATTGGAATTGATGAAGCCCAGTTCTTCGACGATCTGTATGATTTTTGCTGTGAAGCTGCAGATCTCGACGGGAAAACATTAGTAATTGCTGGGCTAGATGGTGATTATTTAAGGTATACGAATATATTCATTGGAGCATGTTTACAAACCACTCGATGTGTTTTCGCCGTTTGTTGTCTCATTTGCTGCCATGTTTGAATTGATAGATACTCGAATGATATTTTTGTGTTGAGTGGTTCTTAATTTACGGAGTATTTCTTTATTTCAGTGTAACAGTGTGGGTCCTCTTTACCTTTTTTTTTCTACGTAGTATTTTAATTTCATAGATTTAAATGGAATAATTCCTGAAACATGACTCAAAATATCTAAAGATTTCAAATAGAATTGCTATATGTTTTCCCGAATAAAGATATTGTTATTTTGATCATTTATTCTCACATTTTGGATTTACTGAATTATAAATATGAACAATATCGCAATTGATGGCATTTTCATGCTAGTAGTTATTTTTATTGAGATGATAAAAATGTAATGTTTCTATTTTCGAATTCCAAAATTTTATACTCTGCTTATGGCAGTTTCTTATTTTATATTTATAATTTCAATTTCTTAAAATACCACAAGGTCAAATTTAAATACTACAATTAAACACAAACAATCGTTTAGTTCTACGTGCTAAATGATGGTCTCATTTCTTATCTTGTGATTTAATCAATGAAAATGTTAAATGTCATTAACATAGGTTTGTAGTTATAATCGTAACTTTGTTGATCATTGTCATGTACTCATGTTCAATTTTACGCTATAGTAACAACGATGCTATACAAATACGAACTACGAAGTAATAACTTTAGTAGGTAGTATTCCCTCCGTCCCATTTTACCTGTCTTATTTTTCTTTTTGTGTAGTTCCAAAATAAATGTCTCATTTTCTTTTTGGGAAAGAAATATATGATCTACACGTATCACTTTATTATATTCAAATCTCAACTATAATTTTTACTTTTTCAACTACTTCATTAATTACTATATTGAGTTAAATTAAGACACATAAAAAGGGACGGAGGTAGTAATACATTTGTTCTTATTCTTATTTCAATATTATTTCGAAAAAAGCTTCTTATGAAAACTACTACTCCGTATTTCAAGTTTCACAAAAAGAAGAAGTTAATTTTGAGTATAATGAAACTTTGACCTACAAAATACTCGTAAGTAATAGTGGTTTAGTAAATATGAAACTTACAATCATTTGGGACAAAGATGTTAATATGTTATCAATTAAGAAGTTTTTATTTGAACTTTTTTTGCTTAGATTAAAAACAAAACAAACATATGTTACACATTTACCAAAGCGCAATTATCTTCAAAAATAATTGGGAAGACATTCAAATGAATTCTTGAAGATAATTGTTACACATTTTACTATTACCAAATTTAAGATAAAAAATCAATTGGGAAGACATTCAAATGAATTCTTGAAGATAATTGTGCCGTTAAAAGCGCAATTATCTTCAAGAATTCATTTGAATGTCTTCCGGATTGAATTTTTTGTTGAAATTTGGTATGAGTAAACTAGACTCAATAAATAAAATTCTCAAAAAAATTTATCAAAAAATTCCACTGGGAGTCACCTCAAATGGCACGTCCGGACAGAATCTTCCATATAAGGACTTATTTGACACCTTTTTTGCAACTTCAAGGACCAAATTGACCCTTTACTCATTTTATAACTATAGAAGTCTAGTTTAGCTTGGTCTGTTTAAGTCTGGTTTGAGATAAACCATAAATGACAAGATGAATTGTGATCGCAGGAGGAGATTCGGGTCAGTTTTGGACATAATCCCACTTGCGAATACTGTCCAAAAATTGACAGCGAGATGCGAAATATGTGGGAAACGAGCCTCCTTCACCTTCAGGAAGATTGGCGAAACTCAGACAGAGCTAATTGGGGGTTCAGATATGTACATGCCACTCTGCCGACAGCACTATGTCATTGGAACAACACCTCCTACTAAGATTGCCCACAAAGAAGAAGATTTGTTTAAGAGGAAGAAGATGCTTCCTGAGCAGGGTGATACGTTATTAGAATCCTCCTCATATGAGAAACTCGTTCCCTTTCATTAACTTTGTGTTATATATAAATATATAAATATTGAGTTCGCATTTACTAGGTGTTGGTTATTGATCGACTTCTTGTCGGTAGATTAATGCTTATTCTATGGTAATGTATAAAATTATGAAACAGACGAAGTTGAACTTATGCACATGTTTTTTGTATTTAGTACTCCGTACTACGTATTTCTCATTAACATCTACCCCAAACTGTATATCGTTAGCCGCTTCCTTTTATTTGCTATTAAAATCAAAATTTTGGTGGTTTGTTATATTATTATTTTTATTGTTACGGTCACTGATATTATTGCTACTACTAAATTGTTTTCAAGAAATTCAGTTTACAAACATACTCCGTATATCACTTCCGAAATTCGAAATTGAAAGTTGAAACCAACGAGTCTTCGTCAATTATTTCAACATTAAATTTAAATAAAAGTTCAATGTGTTACCTTATGAGTTATGACATCATGTGATAAAAAAGACTGCTCCTATTTCAACTGTCTAGACATCCAAGAAGAGCTCTAAACATATGATCTTCAATAGCAATATTTAAATCAACTAATAAATTGAAAACTTAACTTTATGAGATTGATAGCTGGTTGCTTTAATAATATCTGATGTTGAAGTTGAGGTAGCTGAAGCGGCATTATCAAGTCCTCTTCATCTTGTGTTGGGAATCATTGAGTATTTATCTAACCACCTTGTTGAAAACTAACCGGGAGAAGAAGAGGAATTGGCGAAAGAAGAATAGCAGGAGCCCAAGAGAAGCAGTCGAAAAGAAGAATATGGTTGTGAGTTTGAAAATTTTATTTTAAATAATCAAAAGGCCAAAGGTTGTCCAACACCTCAATAGACCCAACTTGGGTGCTAAAAAGTGACAAGTTTAGGTGTCAGGAAGGTGTTACCATGAACACATTCAAACATGTACTAACACCTCTATTTTTAATTTGTCTCCCAAACAATTGCTAAGGTCAACAATTATTGACACTTACATTACTAACACCCTAAACACTCCAACCAAACATGATCATGAACATACTCAAATTTTTAAAGATGGTTTCATCAAGATTTACAATTATTCATTAAAAGTGCAAAAATATAAAACAAATAATAAAATTAACACCATATCAGAACGTTCCTTAGATAAAACTCAGAAGTAATATCCACATTTCTGCTAAAACTAGCATTCCTCTCAAAATAAGCAGTGTTTGGGTCTACTACAGATATGTGAGTCAGTGAGCAAGGGTATGTTTGGTCCCAATTTTTTTGTTCAAGACGGAGGGGTAAATTCTCATTTGTATGGGGGAGGGAGTTTAATTATCCCTCATATCCGTCCCCTCAATTTTCTTTTCTCATGTTTAGTAGTTTTTTGGAGAGATTAAGCTTAACTACCCCTCTTCACATCCCTCAACTAAACCAATAATGATAATACAAAAACACTTCATCAGCTAAGTCAGGAATGACTTTAATTGGACTGAAATTTTCTAACCCGGTCCGGTCTGTTTAAGCATGGCCTGAAGTATTTTACTATTGCCTAAACCTCACAAGTTTAGTCTATGTAAGTAGACTGAAATCAGTTCAATTCAAAATATCCCAAGACTAACCGCTAGAACTTCAAGAACAGTGCAATGAATTTGTAAATTCTTCTTTCAAAGTCCAGTAACCAATAAGGTGCTTATGAAGCAGTTCCAAATGTAATGCCCGTCATAGGTCATAACCTATTTCCATTATTGTGGTTAGAGAGAGAAATGCAAGACTCAAAATGGCAGAAAGATTCATTTTTTCACAAACTATTACAAACCAACCAACAAAATACAAGTCATAATGTTTGGAAACAGTTCAAAAAACCGCCAACTGCACTACATGCTGGGGGTGTTCGGGTAATAGTGTTTTGCCCCAAAATTCCAATTTTTTTTCAACTGCAAACGCTGCAAAATGCAGCGCATTTGGACCAAGCCGCTGAAAAACAAACAGGGCCGCTCTCTTAACCAATAGCCCCTTGTATATCAATCCACTCGACATAACACTTGCACTTGAGAACCTTACAGTCTGTTTGGCTTTTGGAGGGCAGTGGTTTGGTGAGCAAAGTCTATATAAAGTATTAAAATCAAGAAAAACATTTTACATTTGAATTTACATAAAATTGAAAGGATAACATAGTAGGTGATCATTTACACCAACTCTTCATATGTTTTTAATAACATTCTATTTCTCAAGATATTAGCTAAGTTATTTATAGTCTAGGAATACATTTGAAAATTTATAAAAATGGAAAGAATAACATAGTAGGTAGTCATTTGAAATTTAAACCAACTCATCATTCGTTTTTAATAACATTCTATTCATCAAGATATAGGCTAAGTTTTCTAAAGCTTCCCATATAAAACCTTCCACCTAAACTGTCCCTAAGCTAAAGCCCAAATCAATTCAAATAAGATTTTCATAGGGATAGCAATTAACTAGTATAATTGTATAACGAATAACATCAGAAGAATGGATACTAAAGATGTACAACACTTCACTGAAAAAGAAGATAATATGGCAGACTTCAACAATCAACCTCATAATCATCAAAGAACAAGTATAAAAAAACTACTCCGTATAATACATAACGCAACAGAAGGCATACAGAGTTACCAAGGAGGATTAGATCCGTCCTCTTTAACAGAAGGAGACCTAGAAGCAGCCAAACTATCATCTCTTCCGAGTCTTGACATACTCCTACCAGATTTAGGAGTGCCCAACCCAGGACTGGCACCACGATAGCTAGCCCTCAGAGATTCATCCAAAGACCGTGATGACTTGGCAATGGCATTCCTCACAAACTTCTGTGCAGCTGGAGATAGAGTCCGTCCACATGGACTAACACTCCCCCCTCTGACTGGAGAGTGCAAAGGCGGTTTCTGAAACATCTTTGTCCTCTCCCTGAGTTTCCTAGAAGCTTCCCGAGATAAAGAATGGGCCTTTACATCTCTTGAAGCCGGCATTGGTATGTTATAGTGGGGCCTTTCTCCATTACCTCCAATATCAAAGGGAGTGTCTTCTGGTTCCAACCTAAGTGGGGTACCTTCTATCTCACCCCAAGTGATGAAGGGGGAGCCATCAACACCAGGTGCAGGAGATGGAGTCATAACATAACTATATCCATTTTCAGCTTTCTTCCCAGATTCTATAAAGAACTGATTGGGAGTTTTCTTGAAATCTTCCAGATCATATTTCTTTAATTTATCCCCCCCTCTGTCAATAAAAGGAAGAGGTGTAGCTCCTGGAACGGGTGAATAAAGAACAGCCACGGTCTCATCTTCTTTCAGAAGGGTTTCTGCCATTTTACCATGAAAACGAGTATTGGGCCTGTTAATTTCCTTGGTCAACCCCTTGAGTCTATTAGCCATTTCTTCTTCTGTTAATGGTGCCTCTCCTCTATCAGCAGGATGGTACATGAGCAGGTTCTTTGCAGTATATTTCCACCCTTCTAATGTGGCAACAGGTTGATCCGACGTACCATATCCATCTGTAGAGACCTTTTCTCTTTTTGAACCCTCTATCAGATTTACATCTACCTCCTGCTTTTCACCTTCTAACAAAAAATCGTACCGTTCCTTTCTCTTCCTATTAGCTTTCTCAATAATCTTGAAGAAGCTCTCGTTATCCTCACTGGTGTACCTCCTCATGAAATCATCTAACGGCAAGGACGTATCAACCTCACCCTCACCAATTTTATTTCCAATATCGGTAGAAGTATTACAGCTATCACCGGCATCGCCGGTCATACTCGGAGTAGTGGTCTTGAAAACGTCGTCAAAGGGGGTGATTGAGTTTCTGAAAAAAGTCGAGCCAGGGGTTCGAGATTTATTACCTGCAGTGTCGGAACCGATTGCCTTTCCGCGGCGGCGCTCGATAATTTTCAACTGCGCATCGCGAATCTGAAGAGGATCTCCGGTACGGACGGCCTCGAGCCAATCGAGTCGATCTCGGAGCTTTGGAATGTCAGGGAAGAAATCCCGCTCGATGATCTTCTCTATTGCGGCGACGTATGTGTCTTCGTCTAGGACTTTATTCCGGCGATTCCTGGGGGCTGAATTCGTGGTAATCAACGAAGAACTACTGCCGTTCTTGTTAGGAGCGGAAGAATTAGGGTTAGGGGTTTGGTCATTTAGGGATGGGGACGGCGATGGAGTCGAGATGCGGCGTGGGGAGTGGCCCGGAGATAACAGCATATTGGCAAACGATCGGAGTAGGCAGTCGTTTAGGGCTCTGCGGCAGTGCAAAGAGGCAGATTATATGAACTAATCCGTGATTGATACCAGACTGTATATGAAACGAATTGGGATATTGATCGAGTCGGACGACGCGTAAAACGGGTCAAACCCATTACAAGAAGTACCATTCCATTAATACCATTCTGAAGTGTATGGGTTCTCCTGCTTAGGGGTGGACCGGGTCGGACTGGGATTTGGGCGGGACAGGGTTTGGGAATTGAAGGTCTGGTACCGGCATGGGTTGGTTCCGGGCCGGGCCCGGTTCAGGTCGGTTTTAAGTTTTTTTTTTTTTTTTTTTTTTTTTTTTTATAAATTTGGTTTTTCTCATGTATTCCTACCCCCCTCAAACCACCCAGCCCCATCTGCCTAGCACCTAATCCATTTGAAAAAAATGGGCCCGGACCGGTCTCGGACTGGCTGGGCCAGTCCACCAAATAGCCATCCTGTAGCCCGCCCCAAAACCCCCTGGTTCGGGCCCCAAGTCCCGGTCCCGACCGGGCGGTCCGGTTCGGTACCACACGGTAGCAGTCCGAGCCGGGTTCCGGGCCGGTCTGAAACGGCCCAGTCCATGCTAACAAGTAACAACGAAAAGTTTTAAATATGTACTTCAACTTTTAACAATTACTAGTATTGAATCCGGGCAACCGGATGGTGTTGATATCTTTATTGAACGAAAGTGATTTATACTCCCTCCGTCCCGTTGGAATGTTCTCGGTTTGACCTACACACATATTAAGGAAATAAACTTACCAGAGGGTAAATTTTACTGTTTGGACACTGTTTGGACACTGTTTGGTACTGTTTGACACTGTTTTGCACTGTTTGACACTGTTTTGATGCAGGATAACTTTCCATTTAGGGAAATGAGAACTTTCCATTGGGACATCCAAAAAAGGAAAGTGGGAACATTCCAACGGGACGGAGGGAGTATTAAGATAAAAGAACGCAAGTAAGGTGCAAATCGATAAAAAAAAATTGTTCTGCCGTCCACCCTTGAACTAGATTTAGAATCAACCATCTTCGTAGAAGCAATTGCATTTGCTGATCCTGTAATGAGATTAACTGAGCCAATGACAGGCAAACCAGACTTCTCATTACTTGTCCTAAGTTCTAGAGTTCTTCTGCTAGGAAATAAAAACACACCCAAAACAACATGAAGTTCGAAAGCAAAACACAAACAAAATAAAACGAAATTAAAACATAGTTCATTCATCTTCTTCCAAACCCTAGACTCTCTTGCACTCCATGGCGGTGGCTCAGGAGGGGGTGATTTACCAAAAGACGGGGAAAGGGGGATTGGTTTGCCAAAAGACGGGGATTTACCTAGGGTTTACCAAAAAACGGGAGTCGGAACTCCCAATTCCGACCAGAAGTTAGGATTTCGAAAAATAATTCCCTTCCCCTAGTCGGATTACCCAATTCCGACTAGGGATTTTTTTTTTTTTTTAAATTTTGTTTTTTTACGTCGAAGTAGATAGAGTTCCCAAATTAAAAAATAATTCCCTCCCCTAGTCGGATTACCCAATTCCGACTAGGGAAAAAATATTTTTTTTTTAAAAATTTTGTTTTTTATGTCGAAGTAGATAGAGTTCCCAAAGAAAGAAATAATTCCCTCCCCCTAGTCGGATTACCCAATTCCGACTAGGGGGAAAATAATTTTTTTTTTCAAATTTTGTTTTTTTATTTCGAATTAGTTAGAGGTTGGCAAAAAATATTTTTTTTTTCCAATTTTATTTTTTATTTTGAGTTCGGAAAAAAATAAAAGTGTTAGGGTTAAATTATATCAATTCCAAATTTAAAACTTTTTTTAGATTGATGACATATTTTTTAAAATGAAGACTTAGCATTAGCATTATGATTTTTTTAGTAAGAAAACAATTGATTGCTTTGAATTGTTTTTTAATCCATTAGTATTGTGAATTTTGTTTTAATTGCAATTTTTGTAATTTTAAGTGCAATTTTGATTTACTCCATTCGTCTAATCAGATAAAAATTTCATTTTGTTTTAAGTGAAATGTTTTTGTAATTTTAATGGAAGTGAACAAAACAAATGTAGTTTTCAATATAATTTATTAATGAATAGACGGTACATACAACATTAAATTTAATACTACATCTAATGTTGCGCGCTCGGCCCTGCTCCGTCCCCACCGCCAGTGTTCCAAGGCCCCGTTGTGTCTCCATAGTGAAAAGACGAATTCAGAAATGACTCAACATAATCATCCGGTTGTGTGGACCACTGATAAGAATCATAATACGGCGGTGGTTGATCAAATGACCCACCTTGATGCGTTGAGAATTGAGGGGGTGGTTGATCAAATGAGACACCCTGTGTTGAGAATTGAGGGGGCGCTTGTGAGTCCTCACCCCCATCTTCACGTTCATCTGAATCATTCTCTTCGTCACTTCCACCTGCATCTTCATCTTCGTAGTGGAATATGCCCCGGTGGAGCATATCTTCATCACCTACATCCAGGGCCATCTGCCGTAGTCATTTTTGACAATCCTCGTAACTCGCGCGGTCGGCTAAGAGCTGATACACCTCGTGAACGCCTTGCTTCTACATAAAAATGTAACACGTGTAAATAATATGACCCGATATATGGTAGCGAATATGGTATGTATTCAAAAACTTACCACAATACCCCAATCGTGTGCTGTCGGGGTGTAGCCTGTCGTGGGCACATTGTGAGAAGGGTTCTGGACACGTGTCATGCCATGCTTCTTGTACCAGTTTCGGATGTGTTTTAGAAATTTTAGAAATTTTAGAAATTTCTAAATCCGACCAGGGGATGTGTTTTAGAAATTTTATTTTGTTTTATTTTAAGAAATTTTATGATATTTTAAGAAATTTTATAAATTACCCTATATTTTGTTTTATTCTAAAAAATTTTATAAATTAAATTTTAGGGAAAAGTACGGAAAAGGTACTTGTGGTTGGGCTCATTTTCAGATAGCGTCATGTGTTTCATTCTTTATCAAAGTGGTTCATGTGTTTGAATTCCGTTATCACAAGAGGGTCACACCGTTAAAAACGTCTGAAAAATACCGTTAAAAGTAACTCCGATTTTCAAAAGTGTTCAAAAAATTAAAAGAAAAATACCGAAAGGTGCGCCTCAATAAGACCACTGCTAGGCCATATTTCTTGGGGATCCCTTATATGACTTGGGGATGATCCACCTACATTTATTGATTACCGATATGAAGTTAAAAAATGTAACGTCATATAAAGTGTACATTTGACCCCGAAAGCTGTATTTCAATTCTCAAATTGTTTTTAGAGGTCATCCCAATATATCCCAAAAGTCCAATGTCGCAATTAAAAGAGAACAGAGGTAGTATTTTATTTTATCGGGTCAAATAAAATATAACACATGTTCTCAATCATTATTGAACCTTTATTGGTAACCTAATTCCATTTATCGTATTTTGGCTTGTATCGTAGTATATATAATTTAGCACATTCACCCACAATGTTAAGGCACCGGTTGATATGTTGGACCGATATGATTGGTGTGATGATCATTACTCTGCTTTGGGTTTTTCGGAATATCTTGCAAAATATTGAACTACCGAAGAAATCAATTGCGGTAATGCCTTTCAGCATATTGCAAATTATGAGCATCACATCAGCCGACCAAAGCACCATGTCATCGAGGCATTCAGTCTGGGTCGTCCGACTCTTCACCCGAGTTTATGACTGTACAAAATAGATACATTCATAAATTTCAATAATATTATATACTACAAAAAATAAATATATAAAATGTGAGCTTATGTAATTGAATGAGTTAAAAATTACTTAAACGTGTCATATTATAAAATGTGAACTTCTCTAATTAAATGACTTAAAAATTAGTAAAATAAATACTTCTAAATAACAATTTAATTTATAAAATATTTAATTTATAAAATTTCTTAAAAGAAAACAAAATATAGCTTAATTTATAAAATATCATAGAAATTCTTAAAAAAACAAAAATTCTAAAACATATTCCTTGGTCGGATTTCTCATTTCCGACAAGGATAAAAAGCAAATATTTAAAAAATTCGAACACCCCTAGTCGGATTACACAATTCCGACTAGGTAATTTATTTTATTATTATTACTGTTTTTTAATTCCTTCGGATTACACAATTCCGACAAGGAAACATTAAAAAATTTCGAACACTCCCCTGGTCGGATTACACAATTCCGACTAGGTGTTTTTTTATTTTGTAATTTCCAATTTAAATGAAATCATTTAAAAAACCCTGGTCGGAAGTGCCTAATCCGACTGGAGGAGGGGTGTTTTTTTTTTTAAATCTAGATTTTCAAAACCTAAATTCCTGTCGGAATCGGAGATTCCGACTAACGTGTTTTGGTAACCTAATGGCAACTCCCGTTTTTGGGAATGTGAGAACGAAAAGTTTCGTTATTTGGTAATTACTTCGCTCAGGAGGGGGACGGGCCTCCAGAAAGGTCTGCTCCATGCGGTCCACAACGTCCTCCTCATCGAACACCTGTTCGTCATCCTCAATATATTCTGATTTCCAAACTATCGCACTGTCCGATCAACTTTTCCACACTCTCTTATACCGGGTCTACCTCATCACCATCCAGCCGCGACCCACCTACCCTCGTCTTGATCGCGGTCTTTAGCATATTGGCGCTGCGGGGTTGATTGAATTATGACCTTCATCCTGCTTACAAACTCAGCCAAATAGAAGAGTCACAAGATCGGTGCCGATCCGTGGAAGTCACAAAACCCCACTTGGAGGGTATCAGTTGTGCTTATACTTTTTATATGTGATTTATTTTAATTATAATGATTTTTAAAACTTATGAATTTGGACAACTCTTATCCCACCAATTTTGGTGGGCTTATTTTTGGGTTAAATAAACATATGACTTTGGGTTATCATGGATGACATGTAGAATTGACGAAGCCCCCCCCCCACCCCAAAAAAAAAAAAAAAAAAAATTATTCACATGATCTCATCATGATTCAAACAATGTTCCAAATCTCATGTATTACAATTAATCGCTCATTTCACACTCTAAATTAGAATGATAACCTTTCACTGAAAAATATGTGCCTTAGGGTTACATAAACATGCATGTAACCA